TTTCATTCATTGTAGCATTATATACAACAACAACAACAAAGCCTTAATCCCACTACGTGGGGTCGGCTACATGAATCCTTTCTCTCCATTGCGTCCTATTTAGTGTCATATTTGCATTTACTTCTAGTAAATTAAGATCATTTTTAATACAATAAGCTCAAGTTTTCCTAGGTCTACCTCTGCCTTTCTTAACACAAGTCGAATTTAAAACATCTACTCTCCTAATCGGATCATCTAATGGTCGACGTTTAATATGACCAAACCATTTAAGGCGACTTTCTCTAATTTTGTCTGTCACAGGAGCTACGCCAACCCTATCACGAATATATTCAATCCGCATTTTGTCTCTAAGTGTAAAGCCACTCATCCACCTAATCATTCTCATCTCGGCAACACTTAACTTATTATTATGCTTCTCTTTTAAAGGCCAACCTTCAGCGCCATAGAGCATTGCAGGTCTCACCACCATCTTATAAAATTTTCCTTTCAGTCTTAGCGGTACTTTTCTATCACACAAAAGGCCCGAAGCATTCCTCCACTTCAACCAACCAACTTGAATTCTACTATTAACATCCCCATCTATATCACCATCGCTTTGGACAACGGACCCAAGATATCTAAATCGTTCACACCTTTTAATAATTTGATCAAACCAACTTATTAAACCAAATAACAATGAAAAAATAAATATTATTACCAACTTCCAATAGAAAATTACAACAAACAAACATAAATCTGAAATTGCAACAAACAACAACACAAATTCACCCTAGGATTAGATCCAGAGGTGGTAGTGGTCAGCAAAGTGAATTGGTAGGGACAGCAGGCTGCTGAAAGAGCAGAAAAACAGCAAGCTTGTTGTTTTCTAGATGATGGCAGCGAAGGAAAGGGGGTGGCAAAGGTAGGGATGGCTGGAACAGCAGGAACCCACAAAAAGAAGAGAGTTTGTGTAGTGGCAGCAAAGTTGGATGACTAGATAGTAGCAAGAAACAACAGTTGTTATTTGGACGGCAGCAGCAAGATAGGAGGGATTGAATAGTAGGAAATCAGCAAGGGGATGTGGTTTTGGGTGGTGGCAGCAATGGAGGGAAGCAAAGGAGGGAATCGGGAAGGATGGGGAAAGGTAGAGAAAGGATAAATCACTATTTCAAGAGCGAGATATAGCGGGAGCACTACTCAGACCCTTCAAAACAGCCTTAGAAGGTTAAACCAAAGAAGTCGGCAGCTGTCTCAAACAAACACACGCAAAAACTAACTTTAATACATTATGAAAGCAAATTTATAATAATAGAATAACTAGGGGTGGGCCGAAGGGACTGGACGTCACTCCACACTAAGGAAAAGTCTAGATGAACCACTCCAGACAAGCAGGCCCTCCGCCCGCTTTCAAACACGGAAAGCATTCCGCCTGCTTTCAAACGCCCCGCGTCAACACACTGCTGCCCTAATTTCCCCTTCATTTTTGCTCGTTCATGTTCCGCTGGCCCCTTCTTCTCTACTTACCGCATGAGTCCACGCTTCGTCTCCTCCTAATAAATTTAGCATTACAAAAAGGATAAAATGTAAAATCTGGCGATAGCTTAAGCCATAATAGTTAAATCATTGTCTGCATCAAAATTTTGATGTCCTTAATTTTCATAAAATTTACTATCATGCACCCTATAAAATCTAAATTGATTATTCCTACCATAATGATTGTTGTGCTCATGAACATGTCAACATTAAAATAAATGGTTTCATAATATTATGATTAGATTCAACTTATGCGTCATGTGCATGAAATTAATTATTTTCCAAGCTCCAATTCACTACCTAGCATAATTGATATCACTCAATTTTGTTTATTTACAAGTTGAGCCATTTGATTTTACAAAGTAGTCAAAATCTCATCCTTTCAACGAACTGTAATTGGCCATACCCATTTCAAATTGCCGCAATAATAAAAATTTAAAGTCTACCCGATATAACGTAAGAAATCAAAAGATCTAGGTTTTTAAATGCAATTCAATGATTTTATGAACGAACATCGAGAAATTAATGTTGACTTCACAATTTAAAGACAACCCATTAAAGTATAATTTGTTTTCTTTTGATGCAAATCAGAATTTACATGACATTTATACATCTTTAAAATAGAAATTAAGAGAGAACTTCTAAAGTACAATTCAATTAGGATTCACTCCACAATAAGAAGACAATTATAAATGGTTTTCCTAAAACCAATCAAACAAGCCAAACTAATAATGAATTATCTAGATAAAAAAGAAAATGGCAAGGAAATCATCAAATAAAAAAATATAAAACTCACATTGATACAAAAAAATGACCTCGAAAATTTATGGTTATTTAGCTTTACCTTCTTCATTAGTTACTCCAAAACCGTAGCCACCATGAATATTTCTGAAACCTTCTACCACTCTACCAACATGACCATTTAAATCTCCTCCAATAAAAATTCTTTCTTCAAGAGGTATCATTTGTATTAAGTCTTCTAAGTCATTC